AACACCAATCCCAGCAATCAGGGTGGTAGTGACAATAGCCCTGACTTCTAAGGGCCCTGTGGGCAACATTACCTGGCAGGAATGCTCTGAGCCTTTCTTTTTTTCCCTTTGGTTTTCTGTGTTTGCTCTTCACCGTCCACTTCATCTTCCTTCACTAATTCATTTACATCATCTTCACTGTACTCTCCACCTGAAATCACATATAGAGTGGTCAGACAGGAATAAAGGTTTCCACATCAAGTTGAGACATTTGCATTAAAAAAAAAAAAAAGTCTAGTACTTTCCTCTATTGTTCACCTAACTAAAATATTACTTCCTTAGAGAAAGCTTCCCTGTCCCTGGAGGCTAGGCTGGGCTCCTGGATTCTACGCTTCCATGACAGTACATATTTTCCTCCATAACCCATCCCACTTATATTTAATGTTTGCAATTCCTGCTTTACTCTGCAAGCCATGAGGATATGGATCCTTTTTGTCTTTATAGGTGTTTTTTTTTCTCTCTCTGAATAAATGAATAGAAATACCAATTCTACCTACTGTACTTTTCAAAGGAGAACCTGATATTCCCAATTTATCTTGAATACATTTCAAAAGTGAGCAAGTAATGCCTTGTCAATAACAAAGGTTTAGAAAGAGGTCTAAAGACTGCCAGTTAGACATAGCAGAAAGAATAAACATATCTATTCCCCATCCTCAGATACTGACATTCGGGAATCCCCAATGAAAGAGTGCTGCTTGGATGCCCAGACTGACCAAACTGTGGCACCAGTCAATAAATCCTGTCAACATAGATATTCAACTAGCTTTTTTACTTCATAGAAACTTTTTGTTGTTGTTAATCCTCACTGGAGGATATTTTTCCATTAATCTTTCTAGAGAGTGGAAGAGAGAGGGAAAGACAATGAAACATCGATGTTAGAGAAACACATCAATTGGCTGCCTCATGCATGCACTTGGACCAGGGCCAGGGCTGGGGAGGAGCCTGCAACCAAGATACATGCCTTTGACCGGAACTGAACCCGGGACCCTTTGGTCTGCAGGCCAATGCTCTATCCACTGAACCAAACCGGCTAGGGCACTTAATATAAACTTTTATTTGAAGCATAATACATGTATGAAAAAACACACAAACCTAATGTATACCTCAATAAAATTATGCAAAGTGAACACACATAAAACCAGGACCCAATTCAAGAAGCTGAACATGATGATCAGAATTCCTTCCATAAGACCCCTTTGGCCCCCTTCCAGTCTCTAGTCACTGGGCCCATCCCAAAGGCAACCACTACCCTGACTTCCGATACCTCAGGTTAGTTTGGTGTGTTTTGAGCATTAAAGAAACAGAAGCCTACAGTAGTACTCTTTTGTGTCTGGCTGCTTTCACTCAACATTCTGTTTGTGACCGTCACCCTTATCATTGCATGCAGACATAGTTTATTCATTCTCACTCCAAAATAGCATTTCATTGTGACTAGACCACAACGTATTTATCCATTCTTCTGTTGATAGACATTTATGTTGTTTCCAGTTTGAAACCCTTAGAAATAGTGCTGTTTAAGAAAGGGGGGAGAGGAACAACTATAATAATCTGAACAATATGAGTAAACAAACAAAAGTGAGGAATAAAGATGACTCCACTCCTAGGCGGTTTTGTTTGCTTTCTACCAAAGCGATTGTATGGATAATTTTTTCTTTTAATATATTTTATTGATGTTTTATAGAGAAAAAGGGAGAGGGATAGAGAGTTAGAAACATCGATGAGAATCATCCATCAGCTAACCTCCCACTGGGGATGTGCCCGCAACCAACGTACATGCCCTTGACCGGAATCGAGCGCAGGACCCTTGAGTCTGCAGGCCGATGCTCTATCCACTGAGCCAAACCAGTTAGGGCTGTATGGATACTTTTAATGAGATGGGAGTGTCTGGGGAAGGCTCAGAATGGCGGGAGAGATAAGTTTGTCTGGGTGACGATTTATTTTGGCCCCGCTCAGTTTGAGGTCTCTACACAAAATGCGTTCTGAGGCCCTGGCCGGTGTGCACAGTGATTAGCGTTGACCGCACAGGGAAGGATCGCGGGTTCCATTCCCGGTCAGGGGCAGGTAGCTCGGTTTCAGGTTCGCTCCCCGCCGCCGCCGCCCCATCGGGGGCTTGGAGAGGCAACCAATCGATATGTGTCTCTCGCGCTCTCTGAAAAACAATGGGAAAAAATATTTTCAGGTGAGAATTAGCAGCAACAACAAAATTCTGCGAAGGAAGCAATGGGCATGTAAGTTGCAAACAGGCAAAAAGCGTCACCATGTGAACTTTCCACCAACCAGACCCCTTCTGGGGGCGGAGAGTGGGCAGATCTACCTTGGGCGTGATGCTAGCTGGCAGTAACCTCGGGACGGGATAAAATAATTCCCAAAGCTCAGACGGTCGGACGCTTTCAGCGCTGGGGTCCCTAGGGGACAGCGAGCCCCCGCCGGCGCCCCCGGAGGCAGGCCGTGTTCGCGCGCCGGGTCCCCGCGCTCCCACCAGGGGCTGCGGCCGCGGTCAGGCCGCCCGGAGCGACGGCGCGAGAGGTCCTCACGCACCCGTCGCGGGCCGCGGGGACGGAGCGGCCGGGGATGCTCCAGATCCGCGCGCCGGGCCACCAGCGGGCCCACGAGCGCCGAACCCGACGCGCCTCACGTGGGTCGCGGGGCGGGGCGAGCCTCTTCAGGAGGAATCCCTTACCCGACGGCACGTAGTCCTCGTCCTCCTCGGAGGAGGAGATGTCCTCGGAGTCGAATTCCTCCATATCGCTGCCACGCGGGGCGGGCCCGGCCACAGGGCCGCAGCGGCTGACCCCGAAGGAAAAAGCTCTGGGGATAGATCAAGAAGTGGAGGCGGGGGCGGCGGCAGTTGGGGCGAGCCCCCCCCGCTGCGTTTGCACATGCGCAGGGAGTGTACGTGAGAGTAACGCGACACTTCCGGGGCCAATGCGGTGGCAGTTATCCCAGCGTGGGCTCCGTCGTGAAGCGGTGCATACTGGGACTTGTAGTCTTTGGTGCTTCCTACCCTCGTTAATTTAGTAAATGGGGATTAATATCAATGGGGATTCAGCTGACCCTCGCTATTGACAGGCTGGTATTTTCGTATTCGTTTACTTGCTAAAACCTATTGTAACCCCAAAATCAAAATTAGGGGTGCTTTCTGGGATTATTTGCAGACATGCAGAGAGGGTGACAATTCTGAGTCGATATATTTTACCAGCTAAGAATGAGCAAGGCAAACAATCAGATTTTTGGTTCAGTTCTCATACTGTGGGTAAATGTACTTTTTGCAGTCTATTTAGTGCCACATGGGTTGTTTGTTTTGCTCCTGCCATCCCTACTGTGCTGGCCAGTGTAAAAGCCTGGCTTCTGAGTGGGCTGCCCCGTGAGAGCTCACTGACCACCAGGGGGCAGCTCCTGTGTTGAGCGGTGGTTCTGGTTCATTCCACCATAATGGTCACTTAGGCTTTTATTATAGACTAGAGGCCCAGTACACGAAATTCATGCATGGGGGCGGGAGGGAGGGGTGGTCACTCAGCCTAGCCTGCATCCTCTCCAATCTGGGAACCCACCCCCCCAAGGGACAGTCGGGCATTCCTCTCACAATCCAGGAGTGCTGGCTCCCAACTGCTTGCCTGCCTGCCTTAATGATTGCCCCTAACTGCTTCTGCCTGCCAGCCTGATCACCCCCTAACCACTCCCATGCCAGTCTGATTGATGTCTAACTGCTCCCCTGCCAGTCTGTTTGCCCCCAACTTCTCTCCTCCACCAGCCTGGTCACCCCTAACTGCCCTCCCCTGCAGGTTTGATCACCTCCAACTGCCCTTCTTTGCAGGACTGATGCCTCCCAACTGCCCTCCCCTGCTGGCCACCTTGTGGTGGCCATCTTTGACCACATGGGGGCAGCTATTGTGTGTTAGAATGATGGTCAATCTGCATATTACTCTTTTATTAGATAGGATAGAGGCCTCATGCACAGGTGGGGGCCAGCAGGTTTGCCCTAAAGGGCAATCTTTTTCTTTTTTTTTTTTTTTTTAATATATTTTTATTTATTTCAGAGAGGAAGGAAGAGGGGGAAATGAAAATATCAATGATAAAAATCATTGACCAGCTATCTCCTGCACGACCCCTACTCGGGTACAAGACTGTAACTCCAGCCTGTGCCCTGACCAGAAATTAAATCGTGACCTCCTGACTCATGGGTTGAAACTCAACCACTGAGTCACTCTGGCTGGGCAGATCTTAAGGGCTTCTTGCTGAATTCTGTATATATCCTTTTGGGATGCTAAAAACGTTCGGTATCTTGATCTAAGCCACAGTCACTTAAATGTGTAAAATATGTAAAAATTCATCAAGCTAAGCATTTGTGTACTCACATCTTTGAATAAGAATTTTACCGTAAATTAATAAGAAGTTCTAACATAGCTAAACCTATGTTATGTACTGTTATTAAAACAAACAAGAACTGCCTTAGCTGGTCTTGCTCAGTGGATAGTGTGTCAGCCTGCGGACTGAAGGGTCCCAGGTTTGATTCCGGTCAAGGATGTGGGCTTGATCCCATTTGTGAGGCATGCAGGAGGCAGCTGATCAATGATTCTCTCTCATCACTGATGTTTCTCTCTCTCTCTCCCTCTCCTTTCCTCTCTGAAATCAATAAAAATGTATTTGGAGCCGGGACCGGTTTGGCTCAGTGGATAGAGCGTCGGCCTGCGGACTGAAGGGTCCTGGGTTCGATTCCAGGCAAGGGCATGTACCTGGTTGCGGGCACATCCCCGGTGGGGGGTGTGCAGGAGGCGGCTGATCGATGATTCTCTCTCATCGATGTTTCTAACTCTCTATCCTGCTCTCTTCCTCTCTGTAAAAAATCAATAAAATATGTTTTTTAAAAAAAATGTATTTGGAAAAACAAGAACAAATTTTTAGACAACTTTATTACAAAAGATTAAACTCATTGGCAACTGAAAAAGAAATAACAGTTCCAGTTCACAGAATTGAAAGTAATTCTTTATTGATAAACATTTATATCAGAATTAGAAATCAGTAGAAAAATACAATTTAAATAATTTTTCATCGTACAAAGATTTGATCATTTTGACTGTTTCAGTTAGTGAAATAATTAATACAAAAAATTACGCTGATTTTAGTCACAACCAGCCAACAGAGTGCACAACAAGAAATGCAGGCACATAAGACGTTCTGCGTATAAACAGCTAATGGCACCAGGGCTTCACATTCCAGGAAATGGTTTCTTAGGGAAGGAAGGTTATATGCATTGCAGTTGTAATAAGAACTCAATTCAAACCAGAGCAGTCAGAAAGGGCATTGGAATCAAAAGCCAACATACAATTTAAAAACTTAAACAACATAAGGAAGGGTTTAAAGGTAATTATTTGCATGAACTTTTTCTCACTAGTTTGGAAATTTCCTAGGGAGTAATGTTTTGCTGCCAAAAAAAAGTTAATAGCCCAGACTCACGTTTCTCTTGGAATATTCATTACACATTTAAATGTGGACTTAAATTTTCAGGAAATGCCTTTACCCCCAAACACCCATTTTAAAGAATCCAGAAATCAGTTTTTATGGTTGGGGGTAGTCGCCCTCCCCCACATTAAAAAAAAAAAAAAAAGGAAAAGTGTATGCACAGCTGGGGGATGGAATGGTTGTATGTGTCTCTTAAGAAAGCCAGTTGGTAAAAATTCTTAAAAAACTATAGATAATAAAATGTTCAACACAAATGCCAATATTTTTTCTTCTGAGCAGCTACTCCCAAATAATTGTGTATTTGAGGTGAGAAACTTAAACACACAAAACAGTTTTGTTCTGAAAACATTTTAAGCTACAAAGCTCAATTTACATTAAATATATATACACATATTCACAGAAGAATGTTCACATACTGGGATAGAAGAAACATTCAATTTAAAGATATATTTTCTATTTGAAGTTTTTAAGAAGAGTGAATAATCAAAATATATGAAAACATGAAAGAAGTGGAAACAGAAGATACCTTTCAAAATGCATTAATTTTTGTGTCTTGGCTCTAAAAGAAAAATAACCAAATTTAAATCATAGGTCCATATGTTCAAAAGTTAGTATTCTGCGAGTGAGGCCCACCAACCACTGGCCCAGTTGTTTAATTTGTGAAATTCTACCCAAAAGAATGGTGTGTGAACACCACACTTTGATAGACATGATTAAAATCACTTCTTACAATAAAAGCTATTCAATACAACATCCCAAATTTCTGATACTGAACGGCTACTTTTCAAAATCACAGCTCCTTCAACTGAAAAACAATCTTTAATTAAAGACTACTTTAAACGTTAAAATTTGCTTGAAAGGATTTGAGCATTGGAGAGTAATCTTCATTCCAACTTTACCTGTAATTTCCCATCTAGTCTGAGTATGTCACCATAATTTTGAAAAGTGGTCTAATAACCTATTAGTTAAAAGAAAATGTCCAGTTAATTTCCGTGACCCCCTTGTAGTTTTTATCTTTGACTATCCCTAGTAAATTGGTCCTCCCAGCTATTTTTATTTAAAAGCCAGTCTTTAAGCAGAACAGACACAGTCGTGTATACATGACCTCATGGGCTGTCAGCGTTACTCTCACAATGAAAACTTTCCATTAGAAACGTCAGACTTAATTATCAGAAGCTATTTTGAAAACAGGTAACAACATTGATTGTATTCTATACAAAACAGTTTCAATGGTCAGGATCAAGTTAGACACTAATTTGCAATCCTTTCTGTTTTGAAGGTCACAGTTTTCAGGCCTTTTAATGAAGAAGAAAGTTAGGCAGTAGCAGAAATTTTAAATAGCTAAAATTGGATTTCAAAAAACTCAATATTTAATTCTCTTAAAGGACATAAATTCTCCAAAAGGAAAAATGTAAAGGGCAAAGTAAAAGATATATCTGAAAATTAAACTTTAGGCACTTTCTGGGAGTGACACACAATACTGTAAAAATGGGCTGAAGATTCAGCACTAAGGATTTAAGAAGACTAAGTAGCTAATAAGAGAAATCAATAACCCTAATGCTAGTTTAAGCTGTACTTCTATAATTTTTCAAGAGCCAATAATAAGCAGTCAATAAAAACTATAACAGGATGTTTATAGTATCTTTTTTTTTTTTTAATGTGCCTTAATGTCAAGAGTATCCTAACTCATTTGGCTTAGAATTTTCAACTTTAATTTAACAGAGTATGTTTCTAATTAAACCAAATAAAACTAATAGAATAAAAGTGATAGGAAAAGGTGGTACTGGAATTCTGAAAAAAGTCTCAATTAGTTTATTTTGATAAAGTGTATAAAACAAATTCACATCTTTTAAGATATATTAAATAATCAGAGGTCAAGATTGTTATCCATAAAATGTCACATCATTCAGTAGTTATCTCCTTTATTTAAAAAGAGTGGAATCAAAGTCACTGTTTGTATTCTAGATATTTTTCCCGTTTTATTTCCCAATTTTGTTCAAAGCTATACTCAACCAAAACCTATTTGGCACTTACTATCATGAAGATGTAACAGAAAAAGAGCTTGCCAAATATTAATCATGATTAGATCAAATAAGATTTTTAGTACATTATGCTCTGCTCAGAAATAAACCAGTATTTTTCTAAAAAATGCAACACTGCATTTTCTCGCAGAATATTGTACATTTCAGTATGAGGGCAAACCCAGAAGCACCGTTGCCATGGCTTTGGGTAAAGGTGTACCTGTAAAACTACTTATGTTAAATATCAAAACAAAATAAAACTTGATTTGTTGTGGTTGAGCACAATAGTCCAAAAAGAGCTTCAATTCCTTGGAGCTTCAAATGAAAGTAAATGCTGAGAAGCTATTCTTCACATTCTTTTTCATCCAAGTTGCTTCCATTTATAGAACTAAGAAAATAGTGTTTTTTCCATATTTTGTTCTTTCTGAGGATTCTTTAAAACTTAGGTTCGATGTCATAGTATAAGGGTGTATGCTACAGAGTAGCTAAAATCCGTAAAAAAGAGACCACCACTACACAAAACGTCTGTCCAGTGCCCAAGGTGAGGGCTTCGAATGGTATCATATCTTTTCCTGCTGCTCGGTAAACTCCAGCGATTGCGGCACCTGTTCAAAAATTCAAGTGTTAAAAGAAAAATCAAGATCAATATAATCATAAAGCTATAGCACTTAAAATCCAACTGTAAGTAAAATGTTCCAGATTTTCACATTAAAATTTAAATATTATAGAAATGTTTTGTTTCTCCTATTCCTTTTGCTGACTAGCCTAGATTTTAAGTATTCCTTATAAGGTTTGCAATTTAGTGACATATGCTTTTAAGTGTTGAGAAGTGACTCCTTAAAACCAAGAGTCTCCTGGACATAGTGAATAAAACCATCTGGAAGTCATAACCCAAATCACAAAGATTGCAATTTACACATGATCTGATTACAAACTCAAAAACTTCTCTTTATTCCCCATGCATTTAACAGGTACCTAATAAATTCTTGGCAATAAATGACAAAGAATTTTCTGTGTGAGACTAAGCAAGAAATATTTCAGGAGAAGCCACAGGGAATCCCCACTCCACTTTTTACTATGCTCAGAATTCCCTTCAGGAAATGGATGTAAGAGGGAAGAGAGGGGTACGAAAAGGAAGCGAGGACTCTAAGCCCATAAATTTATTAATTCAAAGGGGGTGAAGGGAGGGATACTCAGGGATTCCTTTCTGTTTTCTATATCATTAATTGTTTGTAGTATGTTTTTCACTATAACTCCCTAGAAACTGAGTATCTACTCGGGCACACATCTGAGTTGAAGATACTCAGCATCTACCAAGAAAGTCAAGATTTCATTAATTAAAAAAAAAAAAAAAGCCGAAACCGATTTGGCTTAGTGGTAGAGAGTTGGTCTGCGGACTGAAAAGTCCCAGGTTCGATTCCGATCAAGGGCATGTACAATACACTGGTTGCGAGCACATCCCCGGTAGGGGGTGTGCAAGAGGCAGCTGGTCGATGTTTCTCTCTCATCGACGTTTCTAGCTCTCTATCCCTCTCTCCTCCTCTCTGTAAAAAATCAATAAGATATATTTAAAAAAATAAAAATAAAAAAACAGATCCAAAGTTCCCAATGACTCCCCCAAATGCTCCAAACAAAATTCTCAGTGTGTTCATTCAAATATTTATGTATTTCTATGTTTTGTAAGGTGTGATACCTATTTTCATAGTACACAGGGCACTAGTTGGGGACACAAGACAGAAACATAAGCATCAAAGAGATTTTGAATGATTCAAAACAAACAGTGTCTCAATCACATGTCCACACAGTTCATAAACATGGTTTGAATGTATATTAACATGTTTTAAGAAGAAGAACAATATTAACTAATTGCCTGTGTTGCTTCTCTGGAACATTTATGACTTTGAAATGCCCACCTCCAGTAGCAATGCATAAATACTGTGCTGCTAACATCTGAGAGACACTTGTTTCATTGGGCCCCTTTATAATTTAGCTCCAAAAAAAGGTGGTTGGGTAGAAAGAAGCCAAAGCAACTTGAACTGGGCCCTAAAGTGGGATTTCGATGATGAAGATGGGAAGAAAGGAAAAGCTTATACAAGGAACAAGAACATGAGAAGGAAACAGAGACTCTAAGCATAAAAATCTTAAAGACAGAAATAAATATGACGTTTATTGCATAATTACTATGCGTTAGTATGTTAAATACTTTATATATACACACTATTTCATTTAAAATATATTTTATTGATTTTTTACAGACAGGAAGGAAGAGGGAGAGAGATTAGAAACATCAATGAGAGGAACATCGATCAGCTGCGTCCTGCACACCCCCTACTGGGGATGTGCCGGCAACCAAGGTACATGCCCTTCACATGAATCGAACCTGGGATCCACAGGCCGATGCTCTATCCACTGAGCCAAACCGGTGAGGGCCACATTATTTCATTTAATCAGCACACAGCATATGAGGTGGGCAGTGTTTACCCCTGTTTTACTGAAGAGAAATCTGAAACAGGTCTTCAGAGCCAGCACTCATCAGGAAACTGGAGCAGAGGGTCTCTGAGGACAACTGATAGAGTTAAAAACATTGGGTAAGGCCTGTTATGGAAGTTCCTTTCTGCGGACAGGAGAAAACTGGCCTCCTTCCTGTGCTCTCCCAAAGGGACAGAGAAAAGAGGTCCCTCTGTCCCCAAAGCCCCCTCAAGTCAAAGAGACAAAGGGAGATTTCTGCTTGAAGCTCAAGGTTTAAACTCACAGGGGAAATAAAGTTACAAGTTAGTAGGAATATCATGTTTCTATTTTTTAAGAATATACTTATGTTTTACATGTATAACCAAAAAAAAAGTCTGAAAGTATATACCCAAATGCAAACTGTGGTTATCATGTAGGGATGTGGAAATAGATGATATTTATTTTTGCTTTCTTATACTTCATAATTTATATAAAATATACATGTTATTTCTATTTAATTACGAGCTTTAAAATATTTAAACTTATTCTCATCCCTGTGACATGAGAAAAGCCAAGAAAAAAACACAGGTAAAAATAATTTGTAAATATAAATGTTACTCCATTTTAAAATATATATATTTTATTAATTTTTTACAGAGAGGAAGGAAGAGAGATAGAGAGCTAGAAACGTCGATGAGAGAGAAACATCGACCAGCTGCCTCCTGCACACCCCCTACCGGGGATGTGCCTGCAACTAACATACATGCCCCTGACCGGAATCGAACCTGGGACCTTTCAGTCCGCAGACCGACGCTCTGCCACTGAGCCAAACCGGTTTCAGCAGTTACTCCATTTTTTATTCAGAAAGTCCTGAGAGGAAAAAAATTACCAGGTCCTTTTTAAAACAAGAATTCTTGTCATTGGAATTATTCTTCCATCTTTAAAGTAACCAACTACCAAATGGAAGTAATTAATCATCCTTCCACGCTATCAGTCAGTGACAGCTAATGAGGAAGGACCAATAGCTTCCAAAATATCTTTCTTTTGCTGGGGACCTTTGTCAGATGTACCTCACAAAGCTTAACACGGCTTCCTTGAAGCCAGCAAGAGGAAACCTGACTCAGGAACTCAAAGATATTAGCCAAATATGGGGGCCTGAGGGTGAGGGGAAGAAAAATACAGCCCTGCCAACGTGGCTCAGTGGCTGAGTGTTGACCTATGAACCTGAAGGTCATGGTTGGGAGTCCATGGTTCGAAATCAATAAAAATATATTTTTAAAAAATACATTTTTAAAAAGGACCTGTGGTTAAAGACCATTCTTCATCCTACTCAAACATATTTCTAAATTGACTAAGTCATATGAAATATTTTGACTGATATTTTAATGTCTAACATACTTGTCAAGATTCCAGCAGTAATTGGTCCCACGATGCCCATCAACAGGATGCCTACAGACATGAACCTACCATATTTGTGATGTCTGAGGGTGAAGAGGGCCAGCAGTCCAGCGGGGACGTGAAAGAAGAGAGAAGACACCAGTGCCCAGAGGAACACACCGTACCACATCTCTACAAGGGAAAGCAGAGGAAGGTCACAAGTCACTGCCTCTCCCAGTGCAGTCATTACAAAGGGTGGCCATTACACCCAGTCAGCCACTCTCAAAGCCATTCAGTTGCAATGCAGGTTCATCAGTCAGGTATCCAAATATTGATGGTTTTAGAGGGACCAGCAGACTACAGCTACCACCTGTTTTAGTACATGAAGTCTTACTGGAACAGAGCCATGCCCATTCATTTAAGTCTTGTCTATGGCTGCTTTCAAGCTACAGAAGAGGAGCTGAGACAGTGACAGGGACCACGTGGCCTACAAAGCCCAGAATATTAACTAGCTGGCTCTTCACAGAAAAATTTGACTAATCCTAGATAAACGATCCCCACAGATTTGAAAACTGCCCTAAATAATGTCCCTCCCATAAGAAGTTACAAGCGTAAATTCATTGACAGTTCATTGCAATCAATGCCTGTTGATTTTTCCTGGCTTTTTTATTATCCGGTCTCCTAAACTGGAAAGCTATCTATAATAATAAAGAGCGTAATATGCAAATTGAATGAAAGGCCTAACAGCAGAAGACTGTCTGGACAGCTTCCGGATGAAGCTAGGGTTGCAAGGGCCGAGGCAGCTGCTACGGCTGCAAGTGCTGAGCCCCTTGCATGAATTTAGTGCATCAGGCAGGCCTCTAGTACAATTATATTCATTCCACAATCATTTTCAAGACAGTGCAATAAATATCAAGCCACTACCTCCTTTTAGAATATCAAAGCTCTTTTTTTTTTTTTTAATCTTCACCTGAAGAGTGAGGATTTTTTTTCCTTTTTTTTTTTTTAGAGAGAGTAGAAAGGAGGGGAAGTGGGGGGCAGGGGAAAAGAAAGAGAGAGAGGAAGAGGAGAGAAACACAGTTGTGAGAAACATTGACTGGCTGCCTCCCACTCGTACACCCTGATGGGGATATGGGGTGGGGCGGGAACTGAACCTGCAAGGGAGGTACATGCCCTTGACCTGGAATTGAACCTGCAAACCTTCTGTGCGTGAGCAACAGCAGCCAGGGCCAGAATCTATCTACATATATAAAAGGCTAGGTTTCCATCCATCTGACTAGTAGCTATGAAGCACAATGACCACCAGGGGGCAGACGCTCAACGCAGGAGCTGCCAAGAAGCTCACTGGCCATTTAAAAATAAACGGCACCACGGATCTGGCAACGACAAAGCAACACTCGTCTTCCCCTAAGTGGGACACAGGCCCGCCACCACTCCACCAAATCACAGCCAACTCTGCCTGGACCCCGTGGTGCAAAATGCGGCCCACAGCCCAGCCCGGAAACGGTTGCCGTGGGCGCCGGGTAATGATGTCACATAGCGATGCCCGGCTTCCTCTCCCTAGTGACTGGCCTCCTTGGAGTTTCTTCAGCCCAGAAACCCAACTTGCTTTATAGCCAGGTGCAAACTGTACATTTACTAATGTACATTTACTAATTTTCTTTCATCTCTGACACTTCCATTATAGAGAAAGGGCGAATAGCAATACTAAAATATTTCTTCTAATTATTTCCCTTTCAATGTGTATGCATACATGCACCAGGTCACTAGTTGTTTTATAAAATTGTTGAAACTGGTCTATTAGTATTTGGATTGATGTTTGTTTGTTGCGAATTCTATTAAAATACGTTAAATCATGCAATATGGAATATAAAGTAATTAAATAGTTGTGTCCCAACTTTAAAAATTAAATACATGACATAAAAATAATACCTATGTAGTATATAAAAATATATTTTTACTAACTACCGCCCTTCCTCTACAAAGAAAAAACCTTTCCAGTCAACAGTGTTGATCAGAAATTGCGGGCAGGACTCTGCATCCTCGGTTTGAGTCCTGTCTTCTTCGGAAGCAAACCTACATTTCCCAGCCGTGGGCCGGGAGCTCTTCTTGCTTCCAGTGCCCAGGAGACTGGCCCTCTTCCTGGCAGCAGTTCCAGATGCTTCACTGTCTGGGGTCTAGATGCTGCTTCTCCCCAATAAAAGTGCACCCGCTAGAGCTCTGACACTCACAAGTCCCTCCTGCCTGGGCAGCTTCTGCTGCACCCTGGCTCTGTGAGAGCAGTCTAGCCCCCAGCCTAACGCCCCCTTGTACGCCACCCCACCATTACTCATCCCCAAGATACGGTACAGTCCCATGCAATTCCCTTCCAAAGCAGAGAACCCATCTTACATCCCGTAGTCCTTCCCAGACTCTGACCTCCGTACCACCACCCAGTGTGCACCTAAGTTATGCGAAGGCTAGAAGAATACCACTGCCCCCGGGTGGACAAATGGGATTGCAAATCTGCCTCCAACATGCAGAGCAGTTGCCATGCTGGCTGCCGGCTGCCACCACTGACCTGACACCGCTCTGGAGCTCCCCAAATGTCAAAGATAAGCACTGCTTTCTGCAGCAACTCACCAGGCCGGCACCTGGCCTCTTACTGGCTGCCACCACTGACCTGACACTGCTCTGGGGCCCTGTTGGAGCTCCCCAAATGTCGAAGATAAGCACTGCTTTCTGCAGCAACTCACCAGGCCGGCACCTGGCCTCTTACTGGCTGCCACATAACCATCAGGGAGGGGAAGCCTAGATTTGCCAGAGGCACTCTAAGTTAACGTCCATAAAAGTGGGTCTAGCCAAAACCGGTTTGGCTCAATGGATAGAGCGTCGGACTGGGGACTGAAAGGTCCCAGGTTCGATTATAATCAAGGGCATGTACCTTGGTTGCGGGCACATCCCCAGAAGGGGGTGTGCAAGGAGCAGCTGATTGATGATTCTCTCTCATCGATGTTTCTAACTCTCTATCTCTCTCTCTTCCTCTCTGTAAAAAATCAATAAAATATAAATTTTTTAAAAAGTGGATCTGGACACTTAGGTGTGCTACCCAACTGCTATGGGCTGAAGGTGCTCCACCAAAATTCATATACTGAAACTCTAATCTAATAATACTGTAGCCTAAGGAGAGGAGAAAGGATCTCTCCCTCTGTCCCTGCCATGTGAGGACACAGCAAGAGGTGACCCAAGAGGGCCCCGCCACCACACAACCATGCTGGCACCCTGGTCTTAGACTTCCAGCCGCCAGGGCTGAGAGACAATAAATGTCTGTCTGTGGTATTTTGTAAGAGCAGACTAACTCACCAACACTCGCCTGGTCCCTCTCTGGAGCACAAGACCTGCCCAAGGGGACCTGCTAGACTACCAAACCACCTCGCAAATTTCTTAAAAGCTGAAAGGCCTTTGGCAAAACACGGTCTGGCATAGCAGGTCAGCACCTCCGAGTTTCTGAGGGGGAAGCACGCTGCACTCTCCTGCAACCCTGAGCTACATCCATTAGCTACCTCAGTTTTTATAGAGTGTTTACATGTTTTATATAGTGCCACTTAAATCACTGTATGCAGAAAAAACGGTTTTATTATATTAGATGAGTGGTTTAGAAAACACTTTTCAGACGGATGGATGGATTATAGGACTAATAGCAAAGGCAAACCCCAATCAATAAAACACTTAAAAAAAAACAAAACACTAAGTGATTTCCCTTTAATCTACTGCACCTTAATTTGTTCTCTTTAACAGCCATTTATTGATTGTCATACAGTACTTTTTATTTCCCTGGCTCAACACACTCAAAAACCTTTGTCTATATATATCTTAGTATTTCCTTGTTCACGATTTAAATCAAGTGCATTATCATCAGCTTTGTTTATTTTGGCAGCTAAAGTCACATCACTTCCTGAAGTTGAAGTATAAATCTGATAGTCTATAATAAAAGATTATAAGGGGAAATCAGATTAAGCACTGGTGACAAATGGGCCCCAAAGATGTCTACATATTTATCCCCAGAACTTGTGTGCGGCAAAAGGGAGTTTGCAAGTATGATGAGATTAAGCATCTTGAAGGGTTAGCCTGGATTTTCCAAGTGGGCCTAATATAATAACAGGATCCCTATAAGAGCAAGGCAGGAACGTCAGAAGCAGAGAGATTTGAAGATACTAAGGCTTTGCCGAAACCGGTTTGGCTCAGTGGATGGACTGAAAGGTCCCAGGTTCGATTCCCGTCAAGGGCATGGGTGTACATTGGTTGTGGACACATCCCTGGTAGGGGGTATGCAGGAGGCAGCTGGTCGATGTTTCTGGCTTTTTATCCATCTCCCTTCCTCTCTGTAAAAAATCAATAAAATATATATTTTTTAAAAAGATACTACCGGCTTTAAAGATGGAGGAAGAGGCCAAGAGCCAAGGCTTTCAGGTGACCTCTAGAAGCTGGGAGTAAGGAAACCAATTCCTCCGAGAGCCTTTAAAAGGAACACAGAACTGCTGACCTATTTTGGACTTCTGATCTCCAGAACTATAAAATGATAAGTCTTTGCTGTTGTAAAACACTGAATTTGGGATAAATTGTTACAGTGGCAACAACACTAAGAGTTTATTCATTCAACAAATATTTATTTAGCCCATTCCATATGCCAGGCACTTCAGTGAAAAGAAAAACAGCATAAAAAGATAAAGATTTCTACCTATAACTTACTATTTTTCTTTTTAAAAAATATTTTTAAAATTGACTTTTAGAGCGAGAGGGAGGGAGAGAGGATTGATTGGGGATAGACTGAACCTGCAGCCGGGCATGTGCACGGGAGGAAACCCAGCCAATGGAGCCGCACAAGCCAGGGCAAACGAAATCCGTTTTCCAAACAGACACTTCAGTTAGAGAAAAGCCACATCGAGTGCAGAATCCTCTAGTTGAGTCCTGTATTAACTACAGGGGTTTGTAATGGCTGGCTCCTTGGCCCTGTAACATGTGCAGCCGAGTCAGCAAAATTCCAAGCAAGGCCTCAAGGCCACCAGGACCCGATGAGCAGAAATGAAAGCAGCCTACGCCAGGCGGGCAGTTTCCCGTTAACCCGCTGCACCAACTTAGCCCTCCTTTCAGCTGGCCCCACTCCGCCTCTGTTCCAGGACACACTGTCTGTGCACAGCCTGGTCCTCTGAAGCTGGGCTTCTAGCTAAGTAGCCCACACAAGCCTTCCCAGGAACTGCAGTCCTGCCCTGTCCTACCACTCTGATGCTGGACTGCAGTGATGGGAATTGCCCAAAAGCCCGCAACTCTCCACACTGCTCACTGAGTCCCCTCTCTTACTGAATCCGTCCCCCCCGACCTGCCAGGGAACCATCTGTTCCCTAGTGAAATAACACATACAGACATACTGGTCTTCGCCCCTGGTTCCTGGCACAGCTCCTAAATCTCTTGGAATTTCCAGAATCAAAGGTGACTCTTAGTGGGCTCTTGCATGGGGACTGGCCACCAGAAAGCCAGGATTATAAGCTGGGAACATGCAGCCCTACCCCGGCCCCATTCTTTGGAGAGGGAAGAGGGGCTGGAGGTGGAGCTAATAACCGATGGTGCCTATGTGGTGGAGCCTCCATAAAAAGCCAAAAGTGCAGAATTCAGAGAACTCCTGGCTTGGTAAACACATGTCCGTGCTGGGTGGATGGACCACTGCAAATCCACAGGGACAAACGCTCCTTCTAGACCACACCCTTGTATCTCCTTCGTCTGGCGTTCACCTGTACCCTTTAATATCCTTTGCAATAAACTAGTAACCTAGCAGTAAACTGTTTTCCTGAGTTCTGTGAGCTGCTCTAGGAAATTAATCAAATGGAAGGGGCGTTAGGAACCTCTGTTTTATAGCCAGTCGGTCAGAAGCACACACGATAACCTGGGCTTTTGATTGTATCTAAAAGTGTGTGTGTGTGTTGGGGGGGGGGGTGGAGGCAGCTTTGTGGAGCTGAGTCCTTAACCTGTGGGATCTGATGCTAACTCCAGGGAGACAGGGTCAGAGTTGAATTGAATTGTAGTGGCACCAACTGGTGTCACAGAATTACCTGATGTGGAAACCCACACCTCTGGTGCCAGAAGTGTTGTGAGGTGGTAGTCGTGTGAGAGTAAAGAACAGTGAATTTTTCCTAGATACCCCTCCACTCCTCCCTAACAATGATGACTCTTCCACCAAGACTACCAACTGCAGGCGGCCACCTCTCACCTGACACTACTGACAGGCTATCCCCTCACTCCCGATTCCTGAGTGTGTCTCCCTGGCCTGCCTCACCCCAATGGTCTGGGTTCTAGCAAGGCTAGATCTTGTCTGTCCTGATCTGGCCTTCCATCTATTCTCTACACAACAACACAAAGTCAGTGATAATGGGTACGAAGTTTCTTGTTGGAGTGATACAAATATTCTCTAGGCCCTTGTGGTGATGGCTGCAAACTCTGGAAATATACTAAAAATCACTGTATTGTACACTTAAAAAACAACAGCAAGTCAGACCATCCCTCCTCTGCTCAAAACCCTCCAATACAGTCCCTGGGATGTGACCTCCCTGCCCCTCCTGCTTTACCCACAGTGTTGGGTTTGTCTCCTTTATGTTTCTTTCTTTCTTTTAAAACATATTTTATTGATTTTTTTTACAGAGAAGAGAGAGAGTTAGAAACATCGATGAGAGAGAATCATCAATCAGCTGCCTCCTGCACACTCCCTACTGGGGATGTGCCCGCAACCAAGGAACATGCTTTTGACCAGAATTCAACCTAGGACTTTTCAGTCTGCAGGCCGATGCTCTATCCATTGAGCTACACCGGTTAATCCTTTATGTTTCTTAAGTAAGCTCCTATTCCGGGGTCTCTGAGCCTGCTGTGCCCTCGCCCAGAATACCCTTCTCCCAACAGCCATGGGGCTCACTCCTCACTTCCTTCAGATTTTGGTTCCATGGCATTTTCAGAAAGGCCTTCCAACCTTCTGTAAAATAAGGTTCCACTTGGACACACAAGACCTGACACTACCTCCCTGCCATGCCCCATATTCGCCACCAGCTGTTCCTTTCCACACTTTTAAATGTTGTTTATTTTTTTTCTCTCGCCCCCTAGAATGAAAGCTCCTTTGTTTTGTTCACTACCACATCTGTACTTGGTGCCTAAAAAACAATAGGCATTCTACAGGCACTGAGTAAGTAAATATTTGTTGACTAAGTGAATAAATAACTGCTCCAAGTGTGACCCATTTTTGATCCCAGAACACCAACAACCCAATATTATTCTATTTTAGTTTAATTATCACAAGATACACTTTGACATTGATTTTAATAAAATTCACGTGTTCAGAAAGTTAATGTCATACTTGATATAAAGAAAAGGTCTGCCTTTCTTGGCATTCAGATTTTTTTTTTTTAAATGGCAACAACAAAAGAAAACTGAACAACTCAGAATAAGGAAGGTTAGGCAGAAATCTAAATGGTTAAATTGCAAATGCAGGTTTAAAAACTAATTTTAAAACTTCCTGATAGTGATAAACCACAGAATATTTCAGAGCAATGATTTTGCCATATTGAGTTGCCATAAAATCAAAGTAACCTTCTCAGCGGGGCCAAAATAGGAACTATTTCAGATCCAGGTCAATGAATGAAATTCACTGTCAGCAAGCTCAAATTTCATGCATCTATTGCATCCATCATTCCAACTAAAAATGAGACACAGCAGGGAGGGTAAATATTTCCTCATCACATTCTGATCAACTTAAGGTACATTCAAGTGAATACCCCAGCCCAGAGCCTGCACTTTGCCAAATGTGTACAGGCATCTCCTGTTTTTAAAAGTTCACTTTCTGCTCTAGCCAGTTTGACTCAGTAGATAGAACATCAACCTGTGGACTGAAGGGTTCCACGTTCGATTCTGGTCAAGGGCACATACGTAGGTTGCAGGCTCAATTCCTGGCCCTGGTGGGGACATGTGCAGAATGTTTCTCTCTCTGTGTCTCTCCCCTCCCTTCCACTCTCTCTAAAAATCAGTGGGAAAATATCCCCAGGTGATAAACATAAAAAGCAAATAAAGTCAAAACCAGTTTTGCTCAGTGGATAGAGCGTCAGCCTACGAACTGAAAGGTCCCAAGGTTCGATTCTGGTCAAGGGCATGTACGTTGGTTGTGGGCACATCCCCAGTAGGGGGCGTGCAGGAGGCAGCTGATCGATGTTTCTAACTCTCTCCCTCCCTTACACTCTGTAAAAAATCAATAAAATGTTTTTTAAAGTAAATAAATAAAAACTCTGCTTAAAAAAACACTACTGCCGAAACTGGTTTGGCTCAGTAAATAGAGCTTACGCCTGCGGATTGAAAGTTCCCAGGTTTGATTTCGGTCAAGGGCATGTACCTTGGTTTCAGGCACATCCCCAGTAGGGGGTGTGCATGAGGCAGCTGATCAATGTTTCTCTCTCATCGATGTTTCTGACTCTATCCATTTCCCTTCCTCTCTGTAAAAAATCAATAAATATATTTTTTAAAAATCAATAAAATATATTTTTAAAAACACCACAAAAGTTCACTTTCTGCCACTTTGCTTTGACGAAAGACCTACATTAGTACTATTTTCACTAGTCTAAAAAATTCAAAGAGGATTTTCACTCTTCCAAAAAAAGGGCAAGATGAAAGAACTATTCTAGATTCAACCAGACTCAACAGACATGACAACTAAATGCAATGTGTGATCCTTGACTAAATCCTAATTTTTTTAAAAGTAAAAAATAAGGTCCATACATTAGGTAATATTCTATCAATGTTAAATTTCTTGGGTGTGATATAGAATTTTTTGTCTATGATATAAAATGTCCTTGTTTTAGCCAAAATCGGTTTGGCTCATTGGATAGAGCATCGGCCTGCGGACTGAAAGGTCCCAGGTTCGTTTCTGGTCAAGGGCATGTACCTTGGTTGTGGACACATCCCCAGTAGGGGGTGTGCAAGCGGCAGCTGATCGATGATTCTCTCTCATCGATGTTTCTAGCTCTCTATCCCTCTCTCTTCCTCTCTGTAAAAAGTCAATAAAATATATTTTAAAAAATAAAATGATAATAAAAATAAAAACAAATAAGAGATCCATGCTAACGTATTAGGCATCAAGTGTCATCATTGCTGTAACTTCCTTTCAAATGGCTCTGCAGAAAGTAAAAACTTTATGTATACACATATATAGGAAGCAAAAGAACCTAAATACGAATAACAAGTCTCAGTCACGGGTATATGGGTATTTGTTCTACTATTATTTCCATTTTTCAGGTTTGAAAATTCTCAAAATAAAGAGCTGGGGAAATAAGAGGGGGAAAAAAACAAACTAATCTGGTCCTGTAGTGCCTGCCTCCAGACTGCACAGACATTTCATTTTGGGAGCAGTGTCTCCAGAATGCCATATCAGGGCTGTCAGTGGGAACCCAGGCCCTTTGGGGCGTGATTACAAGCTAACACCTACATCTGCCCCATTACCGGCTATTTCTCAAACCTGTCCGCGAAGACCCTGGAAAGGTAATACACGGCAAGTCCCCGGTGTCCACTGAATGGCGCCGGGCAGTGGCTGCCCAGTGGATGAAAAAACAAAAAAAATCACAGGTGCCTTGTTTATAACCAGTCAGTAATCCAATCCTCCTTCCTCTGCAGGGCGCTGGCCTCATTCTCGCTTTCTCTACTAAAGGCCAAGTATCAGCTTAGCTGGGAGGCCGACCTTAGCCTTCAGCCGCCAGCTAGCGTTCTCAGTCTCCTTACGCTTAAAGCTCCAGCACACATGAACCCCGCTCTCCCCTCGCGACCTTTCCCAAGTAATTTATCCAATCTTTTGGATAGCTATTTTATTTTATTTTTTTTTTATTTTAGGAAATCCTTTTAAAAATATGTTTTATTGATTTTTTTACAGAGAGGAAGGGAGAGAGACAGAGAGTTAGAAACACCGATGAGGGAGAAACATCCATCAGCTGCCTTCTGCACACCCCTTACCGGGGATGTGCCCGCAACCAAGGTACATGCCCTTGACTGGACTCGAACCTGGGACTCTTCAGTCCGCAGGCTGACGCTCTATCCACTGAGCCAAACCGGTTTCAGCACGGATAGCTATCTTGTATCTTGCATTATAATTAAGAAAAACCCTCCTGTCGGGAGAAGGCCCAGGGTGGGGGTGTTGGGAGGGGTGAGCAGAGTTAAGAAGCAGCTGAGCCAAAGGTGCCCAACACGTGAGCGAGCGGGAGCCTCGGCAACAAGTCTCCGGAAGGGATTCCTAGAAAGAGGAGTCGCGGGGCGGGACTGGGGTGCGAGCCCTCAGCGGGCACCCTCCCGGCGAAGGGGGCAGCCTGGCCCTGAAACAAAGGCAGGGAGAGCCCTGACCGCCCCTCCGCCCGGCCAGGCGCATCCTGGAGGGGATGACCGCCTCCAGGTCTCTTGTCGAGTTCAAGTCTGAACGAGGGCGAATGGAAACTCCAAAAAAGCGATCCTGATGGGGGTGCTGGCTCAGCTCCCTTCCTTCACCGACCCGGACCCCCGCGGCCGCGCCCTCCGACCTGGCCCCCAGCGCGGGGGCGGCGGCGGCGGGAGGGAGCGGCCTGAGGGGGTCCGCCCGGCAGGAGCCCCCGGCTCTGGGCCGAGGGAGCGGGACCCTCCCCCCTGGAGGACAATAGCCCCCGGATCTCGGGGCGGGGGGACCCCGTGTGCACGCGGAGGGGAAAGGCGCGGCACGCAGGTACCTGGGAAGGAGCAGAGGGAGGTGGCGTTGGGGCACAGCGTCCCGTTGCCCACCCGCGGGACGAGCCTCAGGCTGAGGATCTGCTGCAGGAGCCCCGCCGAGCCCTCGCTGCTGCCGCCGCTCCCCTCGGGCTCCATCCCGCCGCCATTCACCGCAGAGGGACGGGGCAGAGCGTCCGCAGGGTCGCCGCCGCGGTGGCTCGTTCGCTCGCTCTGACAGTCGGTTCAGCTCTCCGTTCCGCCCGCCGCCGCTGCTGCCGCCGCCGCCTCGGCGTCACCTTCGGCCGGGGCCCTCTTCCTCCTACTCCAAAGGCGCCGTCGAGTGATGGTCGCTTCCTCCAATCAGAGCGCGCCGCCGAGGGCGGGGGGCGGGACGAGAGTTGTCCCCGCCCCCCACGTTGCGTAAGGCTCACCGAGACACCGCACCCACGCAAAGACGCCCCCTACTGGAAAGTCTATCCTTGCTCCAGCTGGGCGCGCTCCGCTTTGCCCTTCTCTGCAGCGCCACCTAGAAGGAAGTAGGGGAATTGTATACGTCCCAGCTGACCAGGATGTAGATTTAAAGCGAATGAGGCAGGTGGGGAGGTTGGTTAATTGGGAAAAAGGAGATATATAAAAATAAAAAAAAATAAAAAAAATAAAAAAAGGATCTGGCAATGAGGATAAGATGATTCAGCAACAAAGTGAAGAAGCTGGAAGACAATACAGCAATAACTTCAATATTTTGAGGGGGAATTATTTTATTTTGAAAACTTAATTTACTTTAAATTTTAAAAGCCTTGTGTAGAAAATACATAATCTTTCCCTTCTAATTCAAGATTATTAGCAAGATTGTTTATTAGAGCTCCCTCTTGAAAGCATTTGTTTTGGAAGCTGTTTTAATACCATTTTTCCAACACTACAACTGGGATTTGGCCTTAAATCAAGAAACTTTTCTAGCCCTAACTGGTTTGGCTCGGTGGACTGATTCGATTCAAGTCAAGGGCACATGCTCTGGTTGCCAGCTTGATCCCCAGTCGCCAGACAATGATTCCCTCTCATCATTGATGTTTCTGTCTCTCTTTCCCTTCCCATCTGAAATCAATAAAAGTATATTTAAAAAAAAAACTTTTCTAAAACAAAAATAGTAAGTATAAAAAAGTCATGAAATATTTAAGAATGCTGTCTTTTGGTACATTTGCCAGACTAGCAGAATATATAAGTGGAAGAAACCAATTACTGCCCAGTGGCTGAGCATCGACTTAGTAACCAGGAGGTCCTGGTTCAATTCCCGGTCAGGGCACATGCCTGGGTTGCGGGCTTGATCCCCAGCATGGGGCCTGCAGGAGGCGGCCAATCCATGACTCTCTTTATCATGGATGTTTCTCTCTCTCTCTCTTCCTCTTCCTTCCTCTCTCAAATCAATAAAAATATTTTTAAAAAGAAACCAATTACCCGTGTTTCCCTGAAAATAAGATATCCTCCGAAAATAAGACCTAGCGCATGGAAAGATAAGACATCCCCTGAAAATAAGACCTAGCGCAACTTTGGGAGAAAAAATTAATATAAGACACTGTCTTATTTTCGGGGAAACAGGGCACTTGAAGGCAATATAACAGTCAATCTGTACTACATTAGGAAATGTTATCCTTCTTTAAAAAATATTGTTAAATTTATTTGAGAGAGAGAGAAAGGGGAAGGGAGAGAGAAACATCCATGTGAGAGCCAGACACGGATCGACTGCTACAATCCAGGCATGTGACCTGACTTCCTATGCACAGGACGATGCCCAACCAACTAAGCCACACTGGTCAGGGCAGAAATGTTATCTTGAACTTTTGAACTTGAATTTTTATCCACAAATTGTGGATTGAGAAGTTAAAAAAAAAAATTGGCTTTCAGGACTCAGAAAATATGTTTCATGTGCCCTAAAGGAGCTGAGTATATACTCCAGAGAAGTTAGAGTGATTACCAAGAAAGAGAAAGATGTGCAATACAAGAAATGGTAGATTTAACCAGGAGGGTTAAACTGACTTCTGTGCACTAGTCACCTGACTAGATTGGAACCAAAAGAAGAGTGTCCTCAGGAAGAATAATGTAATTGATTTCAAGCTATAGACAAAGTAGTTAAGTAGCTCAGATAAAAAAAAAAAAATCAGTTTTTGTTATTGTTAATCTCACCTAAGAAGATTTTTCCCGTTGATTTTTAGAGAGAGTGGAAGGAGAGAGGGAGAAGGAAAGGAAGGAGGGAGAGAGGGAGGGAAGGAGGAAGGGAGGGAGGGAGGGTATGAGAGGGAAGGATCAGTTTTCCTCCTGCACACCCCCTACCAGGAATGGAGCCCACAACCTGGGCATGTGCCCTGACCTGGAATCGAACCAGCAATCTTTAGGTGCATGGGATGATACTTTACCAACTGAGCCACACCCGCCAGGTTAATAAAACTGGTTTGTTTGTTTTTTTAAATACCTTCTCCATAATATTGTGAGCAGGGGCAGGTCTGGGTTTTATGGAGCATGAAGCCCTATCGCTTGACAGAATCCTCCAATGACGAGTCCCGGCGCCTCAGCTTCAAGGACAACATACCACTGCTTCCTGCACAAAAAGCAGCAGCAAACGCCACATCCCCTTTGCCTTGCCTATTGCGGGATGGATGTGGGCCCACAACTGAGGTCTTACAATCTGAGACCACAGCCAAGCTGAGACTCAGAACCCCTTCTTGTGCCTGCCAGCCACAGCGAAGGTTGCTCCCTCATTTCCAGAGGTGATAGGCATAGTAGTTCTGGCGGCAACTGTCAGCTTCCAGACCAACTCTGTGCTCCCGGGGAATCTGCTGTATCCTATTTGCGTGGCCTCCAGTCTGCTGCCTTGACCTTTCTGGAGGGTTTGTGGGCTCCCCCCCCCCCCCCACGTTCAGTCATTTTCTGGGCTTATGCATCCAGCATCCTTCTAACGAGGCTTTGCTCCAGAGCTAGGTGCTGTGGCTTGCAGGGAGGGATCTCACTCTGCCCAGTCTGAAAGGACCATGGGAAGACAAAGCCTTCCCTCCCAGCCCGCTGCCCAAGCTCACAGCAAGCCGGATCCAGTTACATTCACCCTGTGACTGCCCTCCAGGCACTGATCCTGCTGCCAACAACCTCTTGCTCCACCACACCCTCCACCTGGCTTGCCTCCTAGACCTTCCCAGCCTTCTCTCCCAAGGCAGGAGAGAAATACCGGGAAAGAAAGCCCCTCGGTAGGAGCCAAGTTGTCTGAGCTATTATTCCCAGTGCCCAGAGGAAGAAGGGGCACAAGCTTTGTTTTCCTTTCTAAAAATATTTTTATTGGGGTTTATTTTAGAGAGAGAAGGGAAAGGGAGAGACAGAAACATCACCAGCTGCCTCCTGCATGCCTCCCACTGGGGATCGAGTCTGCAACCTGAATCCAACTGTGACCTCCTGGTGCATGGGACAACACTCAATCCACTGAGCCACACTGGCTGGGCACGCGCTTTGCTTTCTATGAAGAATGTGCCTGAGGGAAACTCAGCTGCAATCAAAGGACTTCCAAGGAAAATCAAAAAGTGGCAACAAACAGTGAGGGGGTGGGGGGGGACGGACAGTACTTTCCTAAAACAAAGGAGGATTCCCAAACTCCCGGCCCCGCCAGCAGCGGCCTGTGCCCTGTGTACCCCGACCCGCTCTCCACCAAAGTCTCCGCCTGGCCCCGGCGACCCCGCCACCACCGGGCCTTCCCTCCGCTAAGGCCCAGGGTGCGCGTCGGAGGACGATGCCCAGCTGAAGCTGCTGCTGGCGCCACCGCGCGGCAGCACGAGGTCCAGGGCCAGGTCGCGCTGCTCCTGCTCGGAGAACACGGGCCGGTAGCCGAGCAGCTGCAGCGCGCCGGCGCACAGCTCCTGCACGCGGCGGATCTTGGCGAAGGGCAGCGCGTGGCGCCAGGCCTGGGACACGTTGAGCGCGTCCCGGGACGTGGTCAGGAAGGCCTCGCGGCGCCCGCCGGGCCCGGGCCCGTGCGTGATGTTGTGCACCCAGGCCTCCAGCTGCGGCGTGAGGCTCAGGCCGGCGAAGGCGTAGAGCGCACGGATCTCGGGCAGCGGCGCGCGCACCAGGTCCTCGAAGCGCACCAGGCGGTAGCGGCCGCGCAGGAAGGGCGGCGGCTTGCGGGCGGCGGCCTCGGCGATGCGCACGTGGCTGCGGCACACCTCGCGCACCACGCGCAGCCCCGGGTCGGCCAGCACCCACGTGCCGTTGGTGCCCAGCACGATGCCGTTGTCGCGCGCCAGCGCCTTGGCCGTCCGCTCCCGCGAGCGCAGCACGGCGCGCGGGTCCCGCACCAGGTGCACGACGCGCAGGTTGAGCGCCGGGTCGGAGAGCAGCGGGTAGAGCACCTGCAGGTTGAAGAAGCGCACCTCCTTGAGCACCACGTGGCTGTAGGAGCGGCAGGCCTCGCGCGCCAGGCCGAAGGGCCTCCGCGCGCACAGAGGCTTGCACACGGCCTCGCTGCTGATGGCGCCGCGCGGGAAGGCGCTGCAGGCGGGCGGCGAGCACAGCGCGCGGCTCACCGCCCACTGGAACAGGTCCGACAGGTTGCGGCGCAGCGGCAGGTAGGCGTCGAACACGTCCATGTCGCACAGGAAGACGGAGCGCACCAGGTCCCGCACGGCCATGTGCAGCGCCGGCGCGCTGCCCTGCGGCAGCGTGGACCACACGTGCCACGCGGGCTCCATCAGGTAGAAGACGTCGGGGTGCTGGCTGAAGAGCTGGCCCACGAAGGACGAGCCGGAGCGCCAGGAGGACAGCACCAGCACGTGCACGCGGTCCCCCTCGCCGCCCGCCGCCGGGGAGGTCGGCCTGGGCCGGGAGACCAGGAAGAGCAGGAGGCAGGTCTGCGCCAGCAGGAGCGCCGTCACCGTGGTGCTGGAGATGCGTGGCAGCCACATGCTGCCTGCCTGCGAGGGGCCTGCGGGAGGGAAGGGAGGCAGTGAGGGAACAGTGCCCTTGTGCACATCCCAGCTTCTGCTCTGCGATTGCAGGGAGCAGCAGCCCGGGGAACGTGAAGGTAAGACCTAAGCCACGATCTAGTCTGTGAAGAGCACAAGGCCAGTGGCAGACTACTATGAGAAATCCTCTTCTCCTCCTCCCTCACTCCCTATCTGATGAAGGAAATATTTTAATATATATTTTATTGATTTCAAAGAGGAAGGGAGGAGGGAGACATAGAAACATAATGGAGAGAATCATGGATTGGCTGCCTCCTGTATGCCCCCTATTGGGGAATCTAATTCTGACCACCTGGTTCAGAAGTCACGGCTCAACCACTGAGCAACACCTGCAGGATTGAAGGAAATATTTAAAAACAAGACAAAACAAATTAAAAAAAACTTTTGCCTTTTGGTTAAGAATTCCTTTTAGGGAGCTATATTTAGGATGTTTAGCTGAACAGCTTGGTGGGTGATTGAATCCTCAGGTTGAATCCTGGTTCAGCTATTTCCTAGCCTGTGATCTTGGACCAAACACTTAAACTTTCCATGACTCAGTTTACCCGTCTGTAAAAAGGGGCCAACACTGAGCCTGAGTATTGGTATGAGCATGGAGGTAGGGGGGAAGTACTAAACCCTCATAATGGATAGCTAGCATTTTCTACACATTGAGCTTCTGCATTGTTTGAAAAAAAATTTTTTTAATATAATTTATTGATTTTTTTTTTTTTTTACAGAGAGGAAGAGAGAAGAAAAGAGAATTAGAAACGTCGATTAAAGAGAAACATCAATCAATTGCCTCTTACACACCTCCTACTGGGGATGTGCCCACAACCAAGGTACATGCCCTTGACCGGAATTGAACCTGGGACCCTCCAGTCTGCAGGCTGATGCTCTATCCACTGAGCCAAATCGGTTAGGGCTGTTTGAAAATTTTTAACATGCAGATACAGCTTTTGTTATTAAAAGTAAACAAACAAATAAAAGACAAAGAACAACGACTGTTGCCATCACCCATGGGGAGTGAAGTGCTACAGGATGCTTGGACTCCAGAGGGAGGGTGTCCTTCTGGAACCTGTGAGTTTGCAGAAGAAACCAGTTCAGGGGGAGCGAGGGTGGAGCTAGAGAAGCTGGGAGGTGAGCGTGGAGTCAGGCCCCTGGCAGCTGCTTGCCATCTCCCTGCTGAGGTTACCCACCACTGCCGGGGGCTGCTGGGACAGCTGCCCACCTCTATCACAAACCCCTGGGGGGTGCCTGGAGGAGCCTCCGGTCCTGAGAAAGCAGGAGCCCCACCGGGGACGACAGCCCTGCCCTGGCTGCAGCTGGGCTCTGACCGGGTGCTGGATACATTTTTCCAAACGAGTGAACTGGCTGTCTCTCCTGCTAAGTGCGGGAGAGAGGACTGGCTGTGAGCTCCTCCCGTGCCACTTAGGAGCTGTGAGACCTGGGGCAAACGACTTGAATTCTCCAAGGCTCAGTGTCCTTCGTGAATTGGGGATCACATTTAACCTCTTACAGTTGCTGAGAGGAATGCTGGTACAAATGCATCAGAGGAAAGGGCTTGGCTTGGTAAGGTGCCCGGACTATTCTTGCTGTGGTGAGCTGGCGAGGAGGAACCATGGAGATCACTCAGATGAGACACCTGAGGTCTCCTCTGCTTAGAATCCCAACACCTCCCAGGCCCACCTCTGGCCCCAACCACCCTGAATCCTTTGGTGAATCTTTAAAATGGCATGCTTGTGGTGCAGAAAGGAACGCTGAGCCTCCCACACCCCAAAGTTCCCGAGTTTTCTCCTCTTTGTACATGGTTCTCCTGCAGTGATCAAGGACGAGGTGCTTTGGAAGGCAGAGGCCTGGAAGTTTCCTCCTTAGCTTCACAGTTATTTGCTCCCTGATAACACCCTCCCTGTCCATGTCCCCACTGAGAGAAGCCAGGGTCCAGACCAAGCATGTCAAACTCGCGGCCCGGGGGCTGCATACCTCCTTTACTTGGCCCATGGTAGCCTTTGAGTTTGACATGCTTGGTCTAGATCATGAGCAGATGCCATCTTTGTGGCAGGCTGTAGGAGTGGCAGGAGGATGCCCAACAGCTGCCATCTGCTAATTCCAGAACTGCCTCCTGGATCCCATGCCCACTCCTGAAAGCCTGGAAGACACGGAGAGTCACCACCCATCTGCTCTGCACTTTTTTTTTTTTTTTAATATATTTTATTGATTTTGTACAGGGAGGAAGGGAGAGAGTTAGAAACATCGATGAGAGAGAGTCATCGATCAGCTGCCTCTCGCACACCCCCTACTGGGGATATACCCGCAACCAAGGTACATGCCCTTGACCGGAATCGAACCCGGGACCCTTCAGTCCCCAAGCCGACGCTCTATCCATTGAGCCAAACCGGTTTCGGCTGCTCTGCACTTGTTATTGCCTCTCCTTACCTGCTTCCCCTGAGCACAGGGAGCAGGAGAGGAAGGGAACTCATAACTGGTGTGCTTGACACACATCATCTCAAATGTGAGATGCTTTATATCCGCCCTATGATTTAACTCAGCAGCCCCTGAGGCGGGCATTCTAATCTCAGTTTTTTAGGTAAAGGATCCAAGGCTTGAAGAGACAGCAGGAAACCGAGACTCAAACCTAGGACTTCATTGCTAAGACCCTGGCACATTCTTAAAAAATATATAATTTCCCCTCTCCCTTCCTCTCTGTAAAAAATAAAACAATATTTTAAAAGTATTATATATATATATAATTTCAAAGAGGAAGGGAGAGGGAGAGAGAGAGAAGTATCAATGATGAGAGAGAATCATTGATTGGCTCCCTGACCAGGAATCAAACTGTGACCTCCTGGTTCATAGGTTGTCGCTCAACCACCGAGCCATGCTGGCCGGGCGCTCCTGGCGCTTTCTGACCCCAGTGGGCTGGCCTCTCCAGGCCCCGCGGCGTGCAGGGCTCGGATGCGCTGGCCCAAGCGCAGCTGCCTGGACAGCCCAGCCTCCCCCTTGCAGAGAAGGATCTTGGCCACACGCCAAGGTGTTCCTTACCTGCACTCCAGGGAAGCCAGAGGTCTTCTTAAGTGACTTACACAATACAGGAACTGCTGCTATCTGATCCTGCTATTGGAGCTCAAGAATTAGGAAGGGGAGTGGAAACATCCTGTGCCACGTAGGGTGTTCAGAGAAGCTCAGGTCCCCATAAGGAGCCTTTAGTTCAGCACACCTACCGACTGCCCCAGGGTTCAAAGTTAGGAAGACCACGTCAGGCAGGCACGGTGATGTGTACGTTTATCTTCATGATTGACTGTTATCCTCCCCGAGTCCCCAGGAGGTAGGAACTATCCCTGTTTGTTTTAATTTGAGGCGATGGGTTCTGACAATGAATACTCAGCTAGTGAGGCACAGAATAGAGGTTTAAATCCAAGGGCCAGACCCCCCAGGGGAAGGTCCTGGGATGGGTTCCTTCCTAAACCTTTGCCTAATAGTTCCCCATCCTGCAAGTCCCTTGCCTCCCCTCTGAATTCTTTCCTGTTTGAAGTCTTTTGGGAGCCGAAACCGGTTTGGCTCAGTGGATAGAGCATCGGCCTGCGGAATGAAGGGTCCCGGGTTCGATTCTGGTCAAGGGCATGTACTTTGGTTGCGGGCACATCCCCAGTAGGGGGTGTGCAAGAGGCAGCTGAGCGATGATTCTCATTGATGTTTCTAACTCTCTATCCCTCTCTCTTTCTCTCTGTAAAAAATCAATAAAAATAATTAAAAAAAAATAAAGTCTTTTGGGAGGCATATATTTATTATAGGTTCAATTTTTGGAAAAGGTATCACACAGAAGTGGCACAAAATAATATACAGATGAGGGCATCGCGGGCTCATGTTTTATTTGTGAAAAGTTAGCAAAGGGGTCCACTCCTCTGGCAGACACAGCCCCCACCCCCAAGCACAAGAGCCACTCATTCAAAAGGAAGTGACATCCTCTGTCCCCTACGGGCCTCCCCTGCCTCCCAGTTCCACCAAGTCTTTGATGATGTTGATAATGATGGTGAAAGTAATCATGTATTTCCGTCAAGCCCAAGAGGCCATAGAAAGAATAGAAAGTTCCCTCTTCTACTCTGACACCCAGAACCACCTTCCACTGTCTCGAGTTACTGAAACTGTTTTGTCAGAAAGCCTTTGAAAAATGTATTTTTGTCAGAATAATCCACACAGCTTGCCTTGGCTGGGTGGCTCATCTGGTTGGAGTGTTATCCTGTGCATCAAAAGGTAGTGGGAGCTGAAACCGGTTTGGCTCAGTGGATAGAGCGTCGACCTGCAGACTGAAAGGTCCCAGGTTTGATTCCGGTCAAGGGCATGTACCTTGGTTGCGGGCACAACCCCAGTAGGGGGTGTGCAAGAGGCAGCTGGTCGATGTTTCTCTCTCATCGATGTTTCTAGCTTTCTATCCTTCTCCCTTCCTCTCTGTAAAAAAATCAATAAGATATATATATATATATATATATATATATATATATATATATATATATTTTTTTTTTTTTTAAAGGGTTCGATTCCTGGTCAGAGCACGTACTTAGGTTGCAGGTTCTATTGCCAATTGGGGGGCATATATGAGGCAACCAATATTGATTGGTTAAGGCAACCAATATTGATTTCTCTCTCACACTGATATCCCTTTCTCTCTCTCTCTCTGTGTGTGTGTGGTGTGTGTGTGTGTGTGGTGTGTGTGTGTGTGTGTGTGTCTCTTTCTCTCAAAATCAATGAAAACATATCCTATGGGTGAGAATTTAATAATAATAATCATCATCATCATCATCTACTTAGCTTAAGTAAATACAAGGCATCCCTGGAAGTTTACACAAGAGTGCGACCATATTAGTTTCCCCTGAAAGTGCGATGGAAGAGCTGGAGCCCAGAAATCGAGCTGTCTGGGCAGCGCTGACTTGTAACAGCTTTGCCTGCCCTTAACTCAGCAGCCTCTCCCAGCCCTGGCAAAGAATCT